CGAATAAAGGACTTATAGAATAAAGACATGTAGTGATAGATGTGGTGACCAATAGATTTTCCTCATTTTTACTGTGGGAAAACGGTGTGTAGTTTCGGATTGTGCATTTGACGGTGAATTGCCTGTGAGGTTTTCTAAATTGTACGTTCGGGGGTTGTGATAGCGGAGGCGAGTGCTAGTGGCTGTTTTCAGAAATTTGTCTTTTGTCGTTTGAGAAAACTGTACTAATTGAGAAATGGCAAAATTGGTTGTTTGAGTCCGTTTCAGTGTGAAATAGAAATAAAAAATAGTAATGCCAGAATTTATGTAGGATAGCCAGAATCTAATTTAGGCTTTGTCAAAAAACATGTAAGTATGGCATTAACTTAATTTTGACCTTATAGAACCATTAACTAGAGCACTAAAAATGGTAATAGATAACCCTCAATGATATAGATAAGAATGCCAGTATTTGCCAAGTCGGATGTATCTTAGAGAATCAGTTGGAATATCACTGAATGTTTACCGCCCAAAATGAGAAAGGAAATGTTCGGCATGGTAATTCTTTACGGTATGGATGCATTCGCCAAAACTGAGTTCCTAACTCCACGTCAAAAAGTTTTCATTGATCTAAGTTGCTGTGACTGGGTATGCTCGAAGGGCAGGTTGACGGCTGATGTTACTATTTGGGTCTGCAAATTATGTCTTGTACTGACTAATCCAGCTTTTTGTCCTCAAAGAGAATATCATATTCAATTTGCCCTAACTTAGTGCGGCCATACCCTAAGATTAAATGTTCAGCATTTGCCTGCTAATTGTATGTACGACAACAAAGGGAACAATAGGAGAACTCATGAATATGTGAAAGGCAAGAAAGGAAAAATGCTCTGGTCTTATTTGTATGTTTCTGTCTTTCCCATTTTGTTTATTTACATTATGTACAACAGGAATTCTTCACATAGAACTTGTAGTTTGTTTCATGCTTCATAGATGAAAAAAGATTGCATAGATTTATAGCATTTAGGATCATTATGGATGGGTAATTTTTGCAAGAAAATGTCAAGCATTAATATCACACTGGAAAAAAAGGGGGGGGGGGGCTCAAAAATGGATCAGCTCCTTCCTCCTCCTCTTCTTCTTCATCTTCTACTTTTACTTCCTCCTTCTGAACTGTGGAGACCTGAGATATAAATTGTGTTAGTCTTATCAGTGTTGTTTGTTCATTTATCAGGTGAATGAAGTGTATTACAAAAGGTGATGAAACTGATGGTTTGAAGGAAAATGGGAAAGGCATGCCAAGGATGCCAAGTTCTCTATATTTTGAATCTTTAGATATTTATATGTAGATGAAGTTTTAATTAGATTTTAAAGTGTTAATTAGCCCGTGGTAAGCTTATAACAGGACCACACCTGTCTGAGAGTAAGACCCCGAACATGAACAAATGACTGAATGAATCACATCATAAAACACTAACTAGCACAAAAATCATTGTAGGAATCCCAAAAAAACCTAATCCCAGATTTCCGTATTGATGGTTTGGAAAATGGAAAATCTGCTAATTGGGAAATGCAAATAATAGTTATAATCATAGAAACAAAGATAGATTAATGAATGGTAATTAATTAATGATATAAAGATTATCTGTCCGTGAAATTGGAGCCCATTTTGAGTTAGCACAAATGTCAAATTTTGTTCATGTTTATTTTTACTCTTATTTGCCTTCTATTTAAAAGTAAAATCTTGGCTGAATGCTGTATTATAGAATAACAATCTGCTCTCTGTAGATGAGCTGGCTTGTCGGGATTCCAGCAAAGACATATACACACACTCAGTATTACTGCCTCCCCTACCTTGCCTACCTTTTAGGGAGAAAAAAAAATACAGTTAATAAAGAAAAATAATGCCTTCATCAGTCAAGTCTAGTGTTCTTCACTTGTTCTTTCAGGGAGGTATAGTTATGGAGTGAAATAAGTTTGATAGATTCATTTGCTGAGAAAAGGTTGTTCTTCATTCATGGCATATCCGAGGACAGTGGTTATGATAGTGTGACACTCCCATGGTGTTTGTTTGCTTTTCTAGTGGTGTTACTCATTTTGGTTTATTGTGCAGTTGATATTTTTGGTTGTAGAATTTGGGATTAAAATCTTGATTCAAAAATTCTTCCATTACAGGCAGCATCAGGTTATTCAGGGAGTGGTTTAGACCTCTTGGTTTAAAGCTTATTTGTCAGAACTCTGATGCAGTTCAACTTGTTTGCAATTGTGCACTTAGAATAGAATTGCTGCTTCCACATCCATATTTGTATAACAGTGAACTAGTAACTTTTGTATTATATACTTTTTTATAACTCCTGAAATAACTTTTTATGTTACATACATATAATTTTTTGCACTTATGGTGATAATGATGTTATTATCAACATACACAATCAATCATACACACACACTCACATACACACACACACACTCTCTCTCTCTCTCTCTCTCTCTCTCTCTCACACCACACACTCTCTCTCTCTTC